ACCATTAGATAAAGGATATCTAAGATAACAATTTAACTCATTTTCCTCTTTTTTCACAAAAGTATATTTTCCTTGTAAGACAACTTTAAGTTGAAACTAAGTATCAAAGTGTGATTTCTAAGAATGACATCTCCAAGTATTTGAATTTTAAACACAGATAGTCATGTATAATTAGACTAATAATATTAACTCTAAAAAATTATTTTAAGCAAATATTTTAGTGAGTTAAGTATTTGTGCTGTGAAAAAATAATGCCTAACTTTTGAAACTGCTACAAGACATACTCTTGATTTGAAAGGAGTTGGGAAGGAGATTTTAAAAATACAGTTTTTCACTTTATGAACATAACTTTCTTTAACAGGATCAACAGGCAACATAGCTAATAAAATAAAACATCTTTCTTAATGTTCTCATTTGTTGCATACACAACACTAATATCCCTTAGAAAGTCTATGGTTCTTCAAGAAACTCAAGTCACTATTTTCTTCATGCTTTGTTATTTAAAGGCTACTTTGTCATTTCAACACGACCTAGCCAACATGCATTAAGGACAGTACATCATGGAACTGTTCAAGAGGCTAGGAAATGGAAAAAGTTTAAAATGGGAAGGCACATACCCTGTCTTCAAAGATCTTCACTCATGGAAGGTAAATCAGATATATATATATATATATGTTCTTTTTAAGATAGAGTTTCTCTCTTGTTGCTCAGGCTAGAGTGCAATGGCGTGATCACGGCTCACGGCAACCTCCACCTCCCAGGTTCAAGCAATTCTCCTGCCTCAGCCTCCCAAGTAGCTGGGATTACAGGCATGTGCCACCATGCCCGGCTAATTTTGTATTTTTAGTAGAGATGGGGTTTTACCATGTTGGTCGGGCTGGTCTCAAACTCCTGACCTCAGGCGATCCGCCCACCTTGGCCTCCCAAAGTGCTGGGATTACAGGCATGAGCCACTGCACCCAGCCCAAAAATATATATTTTTAAATGGAGGTGAGCTGCATTACAGAATTACAAGTATAGTACTAGTTAATTCAATGGAACCAAAATCCATTAGGCACATAATCACATGCATTCTGCCCTTTGGAAACACAATCAGCAAAAGGAAACAGGTATAGAAGATACACAAATAATTTAAGACCGGGTAATACATGGCTTACTAGATGCATAAAACTGCTGTAGATCCCACATTTGATAGATGCCCACCTACAAAGCTAAAAGTTTAGAAATTGCCTCTGCAGAGACAAACCATGTCTCAGAAAGTCCATACACTGAAACACATGTACCGTATTTTCAAAGCTGTAGAGGAAAAGAAAGCTTTGAACATGCTTTAGATTCTCAGAATGTATTTACTCTTATTTTATAAACAATACCTAAACTCATAATCTGTTTTTCCAATCCAAAGCATTGAAACAGAAAAAAAAAACAAAAAAAAAAAACAGAAGAGAGTAGGTGTATTAATAAAACTTTAAGACTAAGAGACAAAAATCCTGTTTCTGGATAGAGATTTATTGTCAAAATGTGTCACTAAATTATTTAATAAACATAATGGGAATCCAATTAATAGCCTAGCAGGATTTTTTTGAAGAAATAGACAATCTTAGTGTGTAAATCTGAAAAAATAAACAGATAAGATTTTTAAGCAAGATAAACAAGTTTGCTTATATTAAAAATTAAAAGAATACAATAAAAAAGATTGCTATTCTAAAAATAGATGCAAAGATCAATGGAACTCAATAAAAAGCACAGAAACAACAAAAAGCTGTAAAATAATTTTCTATACAGTGAAAATAACATTTCAAATCACTGGAGAAAGGTAGCATTAGGACAATTTGCTCCACTGTCTGGAGTAACGCCAATTTATTCCATCCAGGCTTAAGTGAACTAAATGTCAGTTACAACAGCAATTTTCTAGCTTCCTCAAATGAGTAATAAAAACAGGCTAATACGTGCCATATGGGCCATATTTAGCCCTTCATATGTTCCATTAAGACCATGATGTAGTAGAAGGTAGCATCCTGGGGGAATAAATGTGTAGTCAATCAAAAAGTGGCAGATTTTAGCATTCACACCAGAAAACTGGACAATATGATTATAAAGTGGAAGAACCAACAGTATATTTTCTTCTTTTGTGGGAAAGCCTCTGTGTGGAATTAACTAGATTATATTATTAGCACAATCTCCTTTCTGATGATCTAACATTGGTAGGGCAGGGGCAGCATATTACGTTCCATTAGTCGTTTTCATGTTGTACCGCTTGATACATGTCCCGGCATGACAGCTGCTGGTCAATACATGTGATCTCCAGCCGTGGAACAAAGAAGGCTATTTCAGGCATATTCAATCCTCACTCATTTGATGCTTTAACAAGCTAATAAGTCATAGACTAAAAACCCCAGAGAACATTCCAAAAGCATACTAACCCCCTATCTTAAGATCTCAGGAAAATCAGTACTGGCAACATTAAATTCTTTAGAATTCGGTTTTGCATAAGGCTATGAAATCCACAAAAACTAACCAACAACAACAACAAAAAAAGTGAGTGAAACTAGCTTTCACTGCAAATGTTTGAACCTTTTCTCTCAATAAATGTGCTTACCAGAGTACGATAATTTGGATAATTCATTGATCATTTATTTAGTAACAACAGGATGAGATGTTTCACACAGTACTGTAAATCAAGACACAGTAACACATATGATTACTTATTTATTTATTTGGAGACAGTGTCCCACTCTTTCATCCAGGCTGGAGTGCAGTGGCATGATCACAACTCACTGTAGCCTCGAACTCTCGAACTTCTGGGCTCAAGCAAACTTCCCCGCCTCAGGCTCCTGAGTAGCTAGGGCTATAGGCACACACTACCACGCCTGGCTAATTTTATTTTTTGTAGAGACAGGGTCTTGCTTATGTTACCCAGGCTGGTTTTGACATCCTGACCTCAAGCAATCCTGCCACCTTGGCCTCCCAAAGTGCTGTGATAACAGGCATGACCCACTCTTTCTGGCCTGGTATTATATTTACAATCTCTTTGGCTATAAAACCTGGTCCTGTTGTAGATATTATGTTTTAAATAGTATCATCAATACGGCAAGAAAATGTCTTCGAGGGTACCTAATTCTCCAACATCAAAATGACAGCCTTGATCACTTTCAGTTACACATAGGCCATTTTGTTCCATCTGTACTGGCTCTTACATTTGTCTAAGGGCAGCAAAATAGACTAAAGAAGTCTGTTCTTTAGCAATTACCTGTACAACTCAGATAATGTTTTTAACTTCCTCAACTCATGCTTGACCTAGCTGGGTTAAAAGAACTACTTGTGAATTCCGCATGTCCAATTGGTAGGTTACTGTTTTTTCTCAAGAGTTTAGCTATACAGTAATGTTGGAAGTCTTGAAGAACTTCGTTTGCTTTCCCTACTTAGCCTTGCAATACTACAGCATCCTTTTTTCTCTTTTTTAAAAGACAGAGTCTCACTTTGTTACCTAGGGCGAAGTGCAGTAGCACAATCTTGGCTCACTGCAACCTCTGCCTCCCAGGTTCAACTGATTCTCCTGCCTTAGCCTCCCAAGTAGCTGGGATTACAGAACTTGCACCACCATGCCCAGCTAATTTTTGCATTTTTAGTAGAGATGGGTTTCATCATGTTGGCCAGACGGGTCTCAAATTCCTGATCTCAAGTTATCCACCTGCCTCAGCCTCCCACAGTGCTGGGATGACAGGTTGAGCCAATGCACCCGACCTACAGCATCTTTTTAAGAGCAATATTGTCTGTTTTAATGTGGCCAAGCAATCTCTAAATGAACATGGTCTGACAAAATTGTGTAGTGCCATACTTGTCAACTGTGTGAGCTTGACTGTGATACTTATTTGACAATACGGTATTTTCTCTATATGTTTCCTTATCTTTATATACAAAAAAGGGCAAATGATAATGTCTTAGTCATAGGATTGTCAAAACAACCTAAGTGCTTATTGCCACACTCTACTTGGGAAGTTCTACCTGTGGGATGTTTCTTAATATATAAACCTAATCTATACCAAGATAAACTACAGGTGCATATTAACATTTACTCGTAAAGCACTTTGCATATTTTTACGTGTCATTCTTCAAGATGAAAAAAACCATCAAATTGGCTTATTTTCATAGATGTCTTTATATAGTCTATGATGTCTTCACTCCATAAAAACCCACACAACTAAATTTGAAATTAATGTACCCAGCTATGAGGCTACCGCATTCTTTAACGCAAGAAGAACGAGAAAATACATGAATCAGAGAACTGCAACTACCTATTTGCTGGACTATTTCCTCATTAGAGTGAATTCTTTGAGTACTAAATTGCATTTCCGTATCTCTAATGCTTACCCTCTATCTCACTGGCTGTGTGTTTGAGTGCATGCACCGAATGCTTAACTATATCACTTAATTTCTGTTAGAAACACGCCATCTCTTAGCACCAGTAGATCTGGCCTTAAAGCTAAGGAAAAAAGGTATTTCTAACCCATGAGGGGTACTAATCCTGTGCAGACTCCAGTATCTCCCGGGCTGGGTACACGCAGGTTCACACCCATGTGTGAGCAAGATTGCCAAACTATACCTACACGGCGTTCGGAGGAGAGTCCAAAAGTCAAGAGACCGGGCTAACTTAGCTCCTATTTCACAACAGCCCTGATCGTGGTCGACATGTTCCTAGGAAGATGCGATGGGCTGGAACTTCCTTCAAGAACAGATTGCAAAGGCAGCCGACCATAGCGTGGCAGGTCACTGCCAAGGGAAGCAGTAGCGGAAACCGTCGCCTCTGGCTCAGGCTGCGGAGCGGGAACCCGATTCTCTGAGTTATGTTTCTGCCTAAACACGCAGAACAAGAGTTAGTGACTGCAAGAGTCGCGCGCGGTGCTATTTCTTGCTAATAAAAGGTCCCCACAGGGACATTTTTGCTATGACTGAAGGCGTGGCCAGTCCCCCTGCACGGCTTCCGGGAAGGGGTGGGGATAGGAGGCTCGCGCCGGGGAAGGTCACGCTCGGGGTCCCCAGACCGGGTCTACGCGCGCCCCTGCCCCGCTGCCTCCCGGGAGCGGCCAGGGTCCCCGCTGGCTGCGCAGTGGCAGGTACCCGAGGTCCCGGCGCTGGCAGCCGGGCCATACGCGGGGAGGAGCGAACGGCGGGCCGGGGTGTGGCCGAAGCTGGCCGGGGTGTGGCCGAAGCGCTTCCTGTGCCAGGTTTCCGGCTCCGGGTCCCTGGAGGAGGATCGCGGGCCAGAGGCGGAGCCGCCGTCCTGCCGCGACTTTCAGACTCCGACCATGGCCTCGCGCTGGTGGCGGTGGCTGCGCGGCTGCTCCTGGAGGCCGGCGGCGCGGAGCCCCGGGCCCGGCTCCCCCGGCCTTGCTGGACCGCCGGGGCCGCAGGCAGCTGTCGACGCCCACGCGCAGGTGAGGTTGGGAGGCGCGCGCCCGGCGGGGCTCAGAGGTCACGGCTCCAATGACAGCGGCGGGCGGAATGAATGGGAGCAGGGAGCACGTGCGTCGCGACACGGGGGCGCCCGGGGTAGCTCCGGGGTGGGACTCCAGAGCGGAGGGGTGCCCGCGGTGGGACGGAGCCGAGCGTTGGATTGAAGTAGGGGCGCCCTACACGGGGGTGCAGAAAGCGGTGTCTTGGGGATCCCGGGAGCGTTTGGGGCAGTGGAAAAAGCGGTGGTAGCCGGGTCCTGGGGGAAGCGCGGGAGCGATCAGATTGACCGCTGCGATATGGACAAGGTTAAGCCTGGAGAGCGGCTGCAGCTATTTACTTTCGAGTTAGAGGAAGACAGATCTTGCCTGAAATTTTAGAGTCAGAGGTGCTCAGAGCTCTCTCCGAGAAACGGAGGATCAAATCGGCCTCGGAATAGACCGAAAAGGTCTTGTGGAGAATGCAGGGCTGGTGCTAGGGTGGACTGGACCTCATGTGTCCAGCAGTGGCTTCGGGAGGAGAGCATACCTGGATGGGGCTGGAATGGCCCTGGAAGGAGAAAGGCCCGAGGCTGTCAGGAGGCGAGAAACCCTGGAGTCATCTAAAGTCAGAATCTCAGCGATAGCCCATTCTTTCAGGGTCTCCTCTGCTGCCTTTGGGTTCCAATCTCCTTTTTCTCCACTTCTGGTCAGTTTAGCCCCTGTGAGCCCTTCTGCACTTTGTAATGATTCTCAGTGTGCCATGGGGTAGGCCCATGCTATTAGCATAACCGTGCAAAATCTATGGACTCACTGTTATTTAAGTTTATTTGAATTTAGTACTTTTTTAATTCAGATTTTGTGTCCGTGTTCTCATCAAACATACTTTCCCAGTATGAAATATATAACACTTATAAATATCTACTTTGTACCAAAGTGGATGCATATCACAAATTATCCAAAACGAGGCTTGGGCCAGGTGCAGTGGCTCACACCTGTAATCCCAGCGCTTTGGGAGGCTGAGGTGGAAGAATCGGTTGAGGCCAGGAGTTTGGGACCAACCTAGGCAACATAGCGAGACTGTGTCTCTACAAAAAATGGAAAAAAATCACCAGGTGTGGTGGTGCATGCCTGTAGTCCCAGCTACTCAGGAGCCTGAGGGAGGAGGATCGTTCGATTTCAGGAGTTCAAGATTACAGTAAGCTATTTATTGTGATAGTGCCAGTGCACTCCAGCGTGGGCAACAGTGTAAGACCCTATCTCTAAAAAATCAAAACCAAAAAACATTTGGAGACCAAATGGCAGCTGGGCAACTAGACAAGGCTAGACAGTAAAGAGAACAGAATGGGGGGGTTAGGGGCACGTGGGAAAAGAGGCTTAAAGGAGGCTTTGCTGGGATCCATTTCAGGACTGTTCTCTCCAGACTTCAGATATTTCTAGTTCTACAGATGAGGCCAGTATTTGAAGAGATGGGTGCATCCACCTCTTATGCCACTACATGCTTTTTTTTTTTTTGACACAGAGTCTCACGCTGTCTCCCAGGCTGGAGTGCAGTGGCGGAATCTTGGCTCACTGCAACCTCCACCTCCCAGGTTCAAGCAGTTCTCCTGCCTCAGACTCCCAAGTAGCTGGGATTACGGGCGTACACCACTACGTCCAGCTAATTTTTGTATTTTTAGTAGAGATGGGGTTTCACCGTGTTGCCCAGGCTGGTCTGGAACTCCTGACCCCAAGTGATCCACCCCCCTCAGCCTCCCAAAGTGCTGGAATTATAGGCATGAGCCACCACACCTGGCCTGACACTTCTTTTGAAAAAAATTTCATGCCCACCAAGCAACCTTAGCCAGGGAAAGTGTGCTTTTCTGGAGAGAATATGCTTTATGGCCTCCCCATCTGCCCGAATGATGACAAGGAGGGATTGTGTGGACTCGTGATGACAAGACCATGTATTTCTGATGTGTGTGTGTCAGTGATGCTTTTCACTGTACGTTAATACGTTAGCATTCTGGTGTCTGCCTCACGCATGTATGTTTTGGTTTCTTCAGGGTCTGATAGTCCTTGGGGACACAGAACTACAATAACTAAGCCACAGGGACAAATAGCAGCAATAATTAAGCCAAGTCTTGCTCTCCACCAGAGCTCCACTACCTCCTAATGGTTGTACATTCTCCTGACTTCACTAGTAGTGTGAACAAATATTGTAATAGGATAAAAACCAGTGTGCACGTGATCATGCCAAATCACTTCTCAGTATATCTTTGATTTTTTTTTAAATTTTTTTTTTTAGGGATGGGGACTTTCTGTGTTGGCCAGGTTGGTCTTGAACTCTTGGACTCAAGCAATCCCCCATGCTTGAGGATTGGCACATGGCTATGTCTTTGATTCTTACCTAGCACTTTCTCTTTGGCTGAGTGTCGTGACTCACGCCTGTAATCCCAACACTTTGGGAGGTCGAGACAGGAGCATCGCTTTTGCTCAGGAGTTCAAGACCAGCCTGGGCAAGTTAGTGAGACCTCCTGATATGGTTTGGCTCTGTGTCCCCACCCACATCTATCTCAAATTGTAATCCCCAATTACAACTGGGGACCAGGGAGGGTCAAGGCAGAGACCAGGTAGAGGTAATTGGATCATGGGGGTGGATTTCCCCGTGCTTTTCTCATGATAGGGAGTTCTCACAAGATCTGATGGTTTTATAAGTGTTTGGTAGTTCCTCTTGTGTTCATTCTCTCTCCTGCCGCCTTGTGAAGAAGGTGCTTGTTTCTCCTCCTTCCCCATGATTATAAGTTTCTGAGGCCTCCCCAGCCATCCAGAACTGTGAGTCAATTAAACCTCTTTCCTATAATTATAAATTGCCCAGTCATGGGTAATTTCTTTATAGCAGTGTGAGAACGGACCAATACAGATAATTGGTACCAAAGTAGTCCGCATTGATATAAGATACCTGAGAATGTGGAAATTACTTTGGAACTGGGTAACAAGCAGAGGTTGGAATAGGGCTCAGAAGAAGAAAGGAAGATATAGGAAAGTTTGGAACTTCCTAGAGACTTGTTGAATGGCTTTGACCAAAATGCTGAAAGTGATACGGACAATGAAGTTCAGGCTGAGGTGGTCTCAGATGGAGATGAGGAGCTTCCTGGGAATTGGGCAAAGGTCACTCTTGCTATGCTTTAGCAAAGAGATTGGCGGCATTTTGCCCCACCCTAGAGGTCTGTGGAACTTTGAGCTTTAGAGAGACATCCGAAATTGGAACTTAAATTTAAAGGGGAAGCACAGCATAAAAGTTTGGAAAATTTGCAGCCTAAAGATGTGATAGAAAAGAATTTTCTGGGGAGGAATTCAAGCTGGCTGCAGAAATTTGCATAAGTAACAAGGAGCCCAATGTTAATAGCCAAGAGAATGGGGAAAATGTCTCCAGGGCACAGCAGAGACCTTCTCTGCAGCCCCTCTCATCACAGGCTAGGAGGCCTAGGAGGGAAAAATGGATTCATGGGCTGGGCCCAGGGCCCTGCTGCTCTGTGCAAGATCAGCCTTGGGACTTGGTGCCCTGCTTCCCAGCTGTAGCTAAAAGGGGCCAAGGTACAGCTTGGGCCATTGCTTCAGAGGGTATAAGCCCCAAGCCTTGGAGGCTTCCATATGCTGTTGAGCCTGCAGGTGCACAGAAGACAACAATTTGGGAACCTCTGCCTAGATTTCAGAGGATATATGGAAACGCCTCAATGCCCAGGCAGAAGTCGGCTGAAGGGGGCAAACCCTCTTAGAGAACCTCTGCTAGGACAGTGCAGAAGGGAAATGTGGGGTTGCTGCCCCCACACAGAGTTCCTGCTGGGGCACTGCCTAATGGAGCTATGAAAGGAGGGCCACCATCCTCTACACCCCAGAATGGTAGATCCCCCAACAGCTTCCACTGTAGCACCTGGAAAAGCTACTGGCACTCAATGCCAGTCCATGAGAATAGTGGTGGGGGTTGAACCCTGCAAAGCCACAGAAGCAGTACTACCCAAGTTCTTGGGAGCCCACCCTTTGCATCAGTGTGACCTAGATGTGAGACATGGAGTCAAAGATCATTTTGGAGCTTTCAGTAATGACTGCCCTGCTGGGTTTGGACTTGCATGAGGCCTGTAAGCCCCTTTATTTTGGCCAGTTTCTACCATTTGGAATGGGAACATTTAACTAATGCCTGTACCCCCGTTGTATCTTGGATGTAACTAACTTGTTTTTGATTTTACAGGCTCATAGGCGGAAGGGGCTTAACTTGTCTCAGGTAAGACTTTGGACTTGGATTTTTGAGTTAAATGCTAGAATGAGTTAAGACTTTCGGAGACTGTTGGGAATGATTGGTTTTGAAAAGTGAGGATATGAGATTTGGGAGGAGCAAGGGGCAGAATGATATGGTTGGTTCTGTGTCTCTACCCAAATCTCATCTCGAATTTTAATCCCCATATGTCAAGGGAGGGCCTATGTGGAGGCAATTGGATCATAGGGGCAGATTCCTCCATGATGTTCTTGTTATAGTGAATTCTTATGAGATCTGATGGTTTTATAAGTGATTGGTAGTTCCTCCTGTGTTCATTCTCCTTCCTGCTGCCTATTGAAGAAGGTGCCTTGCTCTCCCTTTTCCTTCTGCCATGATTGTAAGTTTCTTGAGGCCTCCCTAGCCGTTTAGAACTGTGAGTCAATTACACCTCTTTCTTTTATAAATTACCCAGTCTTGGGTATTTCTTTATAGCAATGTGAAAATGTACTGGTACACCTCATGTCTACTAAAAATTTTAAAAATCAGCTAGGCGTTATGGCATGTCCCTGTAGTCCCAGCTACTCAGGAGGCTGAGGCGGGAGGATAGCTTGAGCCCAGGAGATTGAGGCTGCAGTGAACTATGATTGCACCACTACACTCCAGCCTGGAAAAATAAAATAAAAGTAAATTCATGAGAGGCAAGGTTGACTTTCAGAGAGTGTATGAGGGAAAGGTGAGGAACAAAATCAGAATTAGAAAATGACTGTTGCCCTTCTCTTTTCATACTTCACTGCTTTTCTGAGCACTTCTAACCTCACGTTGGAAAACCGCTCTAAAGTACATTTAAAGCAGAAAATAGTAGCTTGATTGAATATTGTATTAAATGTATACTGTGTACTAGGCTCTGAGCTAAGAGCTTTATATATGCTCTGTAAATTAATCTCCACCTATCTCCATGAGTGGGTATTATCAGAAAGACGTCACAAAGTAACACAAATGTTGAGATTTGAACCGAGATCTGTCTTCCAAAGTCCATGCTACTAATAAATTTTAGGACACTTGGTGGTAAAAAGCGCCCCCTGTACTAATTAGCTATGTAATTTTAATCCTTCAACCCACATTAGAGTTCTCTAATTGAATAACTAAAAAGTTATTCAGTTAGAGTAGTTCAGTTAGTTATTATAACTAATCATAGTTATTTGGTCAAGTGTAGTGACTCACACCTGTAATTCCAGCACTTGGGGAGGCCATGGCAGGAGGATCACTTTTGCTCAGGATTTCTAATAATAATAACTATTACTAGAGACCTGATAATAATTATTAAGTCTCTTACTGAAGAACTGTTACTCTTCCATTAAGATGCCCTTATTGATAAGTATTGTAATAAAATACTGAACTCATATGAATTAATTACCCAGGTAGACTGAAAGACATAAGTTGTCATATAAAGCATGAGGAAGGATTGTCACTTTGTTTTCTTGTTACATTGTAATCGCCTGGGACATCATGAAAGTTCTTACTGGTTTAATGAATACGTAATGCTACCAGGGAAAGAATGAAACTCAGACCAACTACTTTGACTGCTGCCTGGCAAAGTCAACCTTCATTGTCATTGTAATATGGCTAAAGCGATACATGTTCATTAGAGAAGAATCAGAAAATATCTACCAAAAGAAGGAATAAAACGAAACACCCCCAAAATCCAATTCATTCCAGAATAACTACTTTTAACACCCTGGTTTATGTGCTTTCAAACTCTGTTCTCCCATGTGTAATATCAAAATGTCCTGAGGTGGGTTGGTTTTTTTTAACAATATTTATCCAAAAGTACCATTTCCAAAGTATGTTGAAGAACAAGAACTTAAAATAGACAGTGTTTGTATAAATATAAATTCCTTCCTTGCTATTGAAATCTTTTTCCTCTGACTAGTCTTAGTTAAATGGAAGGAAATTGTTTTAAAACTACTTTTCAGGTCTGGAAAGATAGATATGAATATGGAAATTGACTTTCTTTGGGGCAAGGGATGGACTGAAGATGGTTTTTATTTTCTCCTTTTTTCTTATTTATGTTTTCTGCAATGACAAGTATTTTGTAATAACAAAAGGAAACTTTTAAAATTATTCTTTCTCTCTCTAAAGTTTGCAATCTGCCTATAAATGGGTGATTAGAAGATAAAGATTATAATTATGGGGGTGTTATTATCCAATGTTACAGTTTTTCAGGAATATTCTTATAAATTTCTTGACATTTTTATTTTATAGATACCCTATATTAATCTTATGAAGCATTTAACATCTGCTTGTCCAAATGTATATAGTATATCACGGTAAGTTTACAGTCTATACTGCAACTACTAAAATTATCCATTTTTAAATTTATTGTTATCAAAATTTTTTTTTTTGTAGTGATGGGGAGCTCACTATGTTGCCCAGGCTGGTCTTGAACTGCTGGCCTCAAGCGATCTTCCCACCCTCAGCTTCCCAAAGTGCTGGGATTGCAGACATAAGCACCCGGCCTAAAATTGTTAAATTATGTTGCCTGTAAATTTCTATTCTAAATTGTAGATCTCTGCCTATTCAAAAAACAGGAATGTAATAAAGTTTGAGCTCAACGCAGAACACAATGAACATAGTTCAGTTTATCTTTGAATTTGTGGGTTCTCAAGGTCCTATTTATAAAAGTGATCTATTGATTTGTCATTTAGCAAGAACAGAATTCTGTATGTTTTTCCAAATCATAATGACCTTTTCAGATTCATGATTAATTTCTAGCAAGTATTTGGGCTGAATTTTCCCTATCTGAGTCTACTAAATATGTATGTATATAAAACTTACTTGAAAATGAAGTCATGTGCATTTTTGCATGTCCCAGGTTTCATCACACAACCCCGGACAGTAAAACACACAGTGGTGAAAAATACACCGATCCTTTCAAACTCGGTTGGAGAGACTTGAAAGGTCTGTATGAGGACATTAGAAAGGTGAGTTTTTTATTCTGCTGTGATGTAATGTTTTAGCTTACCAAAACTTACTACAATTTTATTTTATTTTTTATTATTATAATAATTTTTTTTTTTTTTGAGATGGAGTTTCACTCTGTCGCCCAGGCTTGAGTGCAGTGGTGCAATCTAAGCTCACTGCAACCCTTGCCTCCAGGGTTCATGCAATTCTCCTGCCTCAGCCTCCTCAGTAGCTGAGAGTATAGGCGTGCGCCATCACGTGTGGGTAGTTTTTGTATTTTTAGTGGAGATGGGGTTTTGCCATGTTGGCCAGGCTGGTCTTGAACTCCTGACCTCAGGTGACCTACCTGCCTTGACCTTCCAAAGTGCTGGGATTACAAAAAAACAATGCAGGTTTTCAGATCTGTACAATGCAGTTTGCAGTCTAGATTCATGTATGGTCAAGTTTCAAATGTTTCTTGAGCAAGAACCACATGTGACCCAGTGCCAGGCAATATGTATTAATATCCATAAAGAGGTTATGGCAGGATTGTGAACCTGAAGGAAAAAATGGTCCAGGTAGTTATCCCACCTTTCCTCTTAAAACCCACCACCTCCCAGTGACTCCAGCTGTCTCTTCCTTATCTAATTCTGAATGTCATTGCCAGTCTGCCCCAAATATGGCTGTCTTCATTCAACTCTTTTTCCTGAAAACTTTCAGTAGTTCCCAACCTCACGTGGTTGGGCACAGTGGCTTGTGCCTGTAATCCCACCAATTTAGGAGGCCAAAGCAAGAGGATTGCTTAAGCCTAGGAGTTTGAGGCTGCAGTGAGCCATGATCCCGCCATTGCACTCCAGCCTGAGTGACAGAGCAAGACATTTTTTCTGTCTTTAGAAAAAGATTGGCTGGGCACGGCGGCTCACACCTATAATCCTAGCACTTTGGGAGGCTGGGATCACTTGAGGTCAGGAGTTCAAGTGCCTGGCCAACATGGTGAAACTCTATCTCTACTAAAAATACAAAAAATAGCTGGGGGTGGTGGCATGCGCCTGTAATCCTAGCTACTTGGGAGGCTGAAGCAGGAGAATTGCTTGAACCCAGGAGGTGGAAACTCCATCTCTACTAAAAATTAGCTGGGGGTGGTGGCATGCGCCTGTAATCCCAGCTACTTGGGTGGCTGAAGCAGAAGAATTGCTTGAACCCAGGAGGTGGAGGTTGCAGTGAGCTGAGATCCCGCCACTGCACTCCAGCCTGGGTGACAGAGTAAGACTCCGCCTCAAAAAATAAATACATACATAAATAAATAAAAAAATAAAATGCTTCCCAGAAATGTCTGTATGCCCCACTCAGCTTGCTCACCCTTTACAAGTCCCCACTTTTCTCCTTTCCTCCTCAAGTCCCCAGTACACTGACGACTGTCATATTCTGATGACAACACTTCCTGTTTCATAGACAGTAGGGGCTGTGGAAGAACTCCTTCAGCCCCTGTTCTGTCGCAATTGGCCAGCTTGCCTGCGCCTTCTCTGGCGATTGCCTGCTCTCCTCCCACCCATGGAAGTCATGTCCCTTCCCTCTCTAGGGGCAGTCCCTTAGCCACTTCCCCAGTTCCTTAGGAACTTCCCCAGACATGGTCTCTCCCTCTGTCTGCAAACTTTCATTGGCATGTTCTCTTCTAGATCCATTGGGTGTTCAGTTTCTTCACCTGCATTTTTAAAAGGCCCATCCACTGACCCAGTGCTTCACTCCCTCCCTTCCGTCACAGAATCCCCTGCTCTCTGCCTCTCTCCAGTGCCTTCAGGTTCCCTCCACTATTGCACTGGGCCCCCCTTTCCAGCCTCTCCTCTGAAGCTGGTTTTGCTTGGGTCACTGATAGCTTCCCTGTGCTCAATTCAATGGATGTGTTACCAGCAGCAAATCTGTACAGGTTTGCAGCAACCTCACTTCTTGCCTCCTCAGAAGAAAGAATTCGACTGAGGGGCCTAAGGCAGAAGTAGAGACGGGAGGTGAGTTTTAGAGCAGGAGAGAAGAGTGTAAAGCCAGAAGGGAAGGAAGTAAAGTACACTTGGAAGAGGGCCAAGCTGGTGACCTGAGAAATCAAATGTGTGGTTTGAGGTTGGAATTTGGGTTTTAGATGTTGGCATACTTCCAGGGACTTGCATCCCGTCTCCCCGGATTCTTCGCTTGGGATGGGCTGCCCGCATGCGCAGTGACCCGCCAGTGTTTCGGCGGGGAGCATGCTGTGTGTGGTTACCGGAGTTTTGCGCATGCTCACTTGAGGCATTCTTCGCATTACCAGTCCCAGTGTTCCAGGACATATACCAATTAAGCTCTGCCATTTTGCCTCTTAGTGTGCATGGTTGAGCCGACTCACCCAACTCCTGAGATCTTATTGGGAAGCTGACCACCAGTTTCAGGTTTTTCTATCTATTGAGAGATTGCCGTCCCTTGGCACCAGCTGTTACCAATTAGTATTTTAGAGACAGTTAACAACTGCCTGACCATCACCTGATGGTCACCTGACCTTCCTGTTGTGGGTGGGGGAGCACCCCTGCCCTGCTCATACCTGACTAGCTGCCTACTGTAGCAGACGCTTCCTGGTTTTCTGACCATTGAGCACTATTGACTGTAAGTCCTCCTTGAAACATGGTTCCCTTCACGCTGCACTTTCTTCCTCCTCCTTGTCCTGAGAATGTTCTTCAGTTTATCACCTCCGCCTCACTTCCTTTCATTCTGCCATTCCCTGGGGTTCCATGGGCCCCCTCCTCTCTCTATTCTTTATATACCCGTGTCCATACTTACGTCTCCCAAATAATATCACTACTCCGGGTTGAATCACATCTCCTACCCCCAGGTAGCTAACTGCTCACCGGGAACGCCATGGGGCGGCCATGACGGTCTCAGACTTAACTCAGCTGAGACTCTACTTTTCCCCCACGAGTTGTTCTGCTGTTTTCCTGTTCCTTGGAGAATCTAGGAAGAACCCAGGACTTGTCCCTCTCCTTCTCCTCCATGTGCTTCTAGTCTGCCCTTTGTCAGTCCCCACTGCCACAGGCCAGGCAATTCCATGCCCCTAGTCCTTTCGTTTGTGCTCTTCTCCTTCCTGTCTCAGCTTCCAAGGGGACGGCTTACCTGGGTGACAGCACCGCACCCATCACACTGTGTTGTGTCAACGGCAGTGATCGTTTTACTTCTCCCCATCTAGACCTTGAGCTCCTTGTAGCAAGGCTTGTCTTACCTTTTTGACCTCTGTGTCTGTTACAGTGCCTGGCACTGAGTCGGTAATTTGCTGAATTAACGATGGGCCCACTTTGTTGTGTTCACCTGTGCAGGGCTGAGGGTTCATTGGCTCCCACTGCGTTCGGGGGGATAAACTCTGACTTAGTCAAGCATGTCCTGGAGTGGCAGATACAAGCGACGCATACCTGCCAGCTGGAAGGCTCCCGCCCTCTTTGTGAATCAGAACCCTGTTTAGGTTTCTGATCCCACATTAAAGCCCATCTCCTCTATGAAATACTCGGTTTTTCTAGCCTGCACTGATCTCTTCCTTCCCCGAACTTTTAATGTGTTTAATGTATAGCACTGTTCATGCTACCACTGAATTCGTCATTGATTGTTTCATATTTGCAAAATGTTTCTCTCTCCGGTTCAATTGTAGGCTCCTTACAATCAGGCAGCCCATGCCTTATATGGGCTCTGTGCACTTACATGGGCCTCTTTGAACCCTCAAAATGTCTTTTGCCAAATAAAGGCCAAGCCAGATGGACTGAGCCCTGCTTCTTCTGCTTGGCTGTGACCTTACTATCTTCCTGCCCCTCATAAACAGCTTTGCCCTGAGGAGTTTGAGGCTGCAGTGAGTTACGATCGTGCCACTGCCCTGAGGCCTGGGTGACAGAGCAAGACCTTGTCTCTAAAAAATTAAAAAATTTAAACAACGTTGCCACCCTACCCAGGACACCGACACCCCCCACCTGCTTCACAGGCTCCCGACGGCCACTGGCTTCCACCTTCCCCATCTTTCTCCTCCCGCCTCTATCTTTCAAGCTGCGAACCAGCCCCTGTTCCTTTCGCTGTCCGGCTGTCAATGAGCCCAGAGTCCCTTAGCCACCTAGTGCTTTCTTCCCTCTCCTGCTGTCTCTTGGAGTCTTCTGGTGTCTGATGCTATCAGCAGGGGCAGGTGGCAGTATCTGTTCTAGCACTCAGGCCACTTGGGGCTGATCCAGGCATTGTTTATGTTCTAGCCTGCAGGACAGCCAGGTGGATGGCCCTACAGCGTGGGAGCCTTGCCCACGGAGTGTTGAATTTCTCAATTGAAATGAATACACTTAAATCAAACCAAAGTTTTGTAGAAAAAATCTTGGCCAGCCACGGTGGCTCATGCCTATAATCCCAACACTTTGGGAGGCTGAGGCGGGTGGATCACCTGACGTCAGGAGTTTGAGACCAGCCTGACCAACATGTTGAAACCCTGTCTCTACTAAAAATACAAAAAATTAGGCATTGTGGCGGATAATCCCAGGTACTTGGGAAGCTGAGGCAGGAGAATTGCATGAACCCAGGAGGCGGAGATTGCAGTGAGCTGAGATCGGGCCATTGCACTCCAGTCTAGGCAACAAGAGCGAAACTCCATCTCAAAAAAAAAAGAATCCTGATGGCTTTCTGTGCAGTTTTGATGCCATTGTGACACAGAGAAACTTTATTTCAGGAACTGCTTATATCAACATCAGAACTTAAGGAAATGTCTGAGTACTACTTTGATGGAAAAGGGAAAGCCTTTCGACCAATTATTGTGGCGCTAATGGCCCGAGCATGCAATATTCATCATAACAACTCCCGGTGAGCTCTTCTATTCATTCCTTTTTTGTTTTTATATTTGGGAAGTCTTTCTTCCCAAGGTTACTGTTTTTTTCCCATTTAAGAATTAGCATATACCTGCTGGGCGTGGTGGCTCATGCCTATAATCCCAGCATTTTGGGAGGCCGAGGTGGGCAGATCATGAGATCAGGAGTTTGAGACCAGCCTGGCCAACATGGTGAGATCCCGTCTCTACTGAAAATACAAAAAAAAAAAAAAAAAATTAGCCAGGCGTGGTGGCGGGTGCCTGTAATCCCAGCTACTTGGGAGGCTGAGACAGGAGAATCGTTTGAACCTGGGAGTGAGCCAAGATTACACCATTGCTCTCCAGCCTGGGCGACAGAGTGAGACTCTTGTCTTAAAAAAAAAAAAAAAAAGTAACATGCACCTAAAAATTCACTTTGTAATGTTTAGATTCTGACTTTAAGTCACTAAAGTCACTCTGGAATCTAGTCTGGCATCTTTTTTTAAAAGACCTTTTAATGTTCATGGAAGAAAAACTTTAGCTGCAAAGTAACATTTTTTAAAAATTTCAGAGCCAAATTTGGTTTTCTTGTTAGGAAGCAAACAATGTAATACTAGGACAGGTGAATACATTTAATCGTTATACACAGGGAACAAAGATTGATTGCTCTAAAGTGATAGGTGCACCGTTATGCTGGACAACAAACGCACACGCTGGGGTGCCAGCCTTCTGTGACCTTCTGAATTGTACAGAAGCGAAATAATCTTTAAAGAGGACATTTTGAGCCTGGACGAGGTGGCTTATACCTGTAATCTCAGCACTTTGGGAGGCCATGGCAGGAGGATCGCTTGAGCCCAGGAGTTTAAGACCAGCCTGAACATCACAGCAAGACCCTGTCTCTACGAAAAATTTTAAATTAGCCAGGCATGGTGACATATGCCTGGAGTCCCAGCTACTCAGGAGGCTGAGGCAGGAGGATTGCTTGAGTGCAGGAGTTGGAGGCTGCAGTGAGCCGTGCTTGCACCAGTACACTCCAGCCTGGGTGACAGAGCAAGACACTGTCTCCAAAAAGAAAGACTTTTTTTGGCTATTGGTCCTCAACTCTTACATTTTGAATATATATAGGAGTTGTAAATATTAAAAAAACCTGCAATGTTTCAATGTAAAGGAAATCTTAAAAGGTAAAAGGCTTTCCCTCGTATCTCGCCTAGCAGTCGCCTCCTCCTCTCTCCCCGTCCATTCTGTATTTGGTCATTCAAGATATTAACATATAATTTTGTGTTCAGCTTTGTTTACTCACCATTGTATTTTAAACTCTTTCGCACATTGCTGAAATGTCTTTGTAATTAGGCCAGGTGTGGTGGCTCACACCTGTAGTCCCAGCACTTTGGGAGGCCAAGGCAGGTAGATCACTTGAGGTCAGAAGTTCAAGACCAGTCTGGCCAACATGGTGAAACCCGTCTCTACTAAAAATACAAACATTAGCTGGGCACGATAGTGCATGCCTGTAGTCCCAGCTACTCGGGAGGCTGAGGCAGAAGAATTGCTTGAACCTGGGAGGCGGAGGTTGCAGTGAGCTGAGATTGCACCACTGCACTCCAGCCTGGGCAACAGAGCAAGACTCAAAAAAACAACAACAAGAAAAGTATAGGAGTTGATTCCTTCGCAGACAGAATCAGCCTCATCCTGGCATGGAGGGTGCTGAAGAAGGTGCACACACCACGGTCACAAGCCCTGCAGCCCTCTTGCTCTCACTGAGGTTCTTGGGCTTGACCTTGCACTCATGCATGAAATGATGACCATCTGCTCATCAAAATCTCCACCTTAGTGAGTGTCCCTTACCGTAGACTGTACTTCAATGATCCGTTTTAATAGTGATTACGGACATATCCAAAGTGCCGTCTCCTAGGTGAAAGACAAAACCATGTCCTTTGGTAGCAACCTTCTTGCCTAACAGCAGCAGCAGTGGCTGGCTCAACGATGCAGAACACACACAGAAACCAGGAATGGTTCTAGAGTTGTTAGTGGCCTGACCTTTGGAATCACTGGAGCCAGTCAGTGCTAAATGACTGTTTTGTTACAGTCTTCCCAGGTATAAGCTTTGGTAATTTCCTTAGTTTTTATAGTGCTATAAAAGTTACCTCCTCTGAATACAGGATTGTTATCACCCCTGGACTCTCAACCTGTTATCTAATGTGAAAACTGTATCTTATAATTTGAGCCTCTAAACATCTAGTTCAGCTTTGAAAACTGGACTAATGTAATTCAATGCCATTGACTATTGGCAAAATTGGTGTCAACAGATCTCTGTGCAGCACAGTTTGGGTAGTCTGTTATCCTGATTGCTGGCAATGATATTCACTTCCTAGAGCTAAAAGAGTTTCACACAGGAATGGATGGTGCCAAGATCCAGGTGCCGTTGATAAGTGTCTTCAATGAGGCTGCTGAGCAGGCTAGGTTTGGCTTGTCTGAGAAACATGCAGACACCATAACTGTGCTACATTCAGTGAGTGAAGCAATTTTATAGAAATCCATTTATCATAAAGCTTTTATTTTTTTTTTTGAGACAGAGTCTCACCCAGGCTGGAACACAATGGCGCGATCTCAGCTCACTCAGCCTCCACCTCCTGGGTTCAAGCAATTCTCCTGCCTCAGCCTCCTGAGTAGCTGTGATTATAGGCATGTGCCACCACGACTGGCTAATTTTGTATTTTTAGTAGAGACGGGGTTTCACCATGTTGGCCAGTCTGGTCTCAAACTCCTGACCTCAGGTGATCCGCCCTCATCGGCCTCCCAAAGTGCTGAGATTACAGGCATGAGCCACTGTGCCTAGCCCATAAAGCTCTTTTTTGATCTGGGTTCTTTAATAAAATGAGCTTGCGTTTTGCTGAGCTCTGTTGCAAGTTAGGTTTTCCAGGAGGCAGACTCTGAGATGAAGTCTCAGGACAGGATGTTTATTTGGGATTATCCCTTGGGATTACTGACACCTGAGCCCGGGGGAGAGGAAACAGGACTGGGGAGCAGGAGAAGCTGAGCTGCAATCAACAGCCTGAAACGCCCTCTAGGGTGTGCAGGTAGAATGGCCCTTCATCTCTCAGTCCTTGGATGTGGGCTGCCTCCCGAAGGGGCACAGCCTATGGTGAGAGGACGCTTTGTAGCCGAGGCAATCCTTGAAGAGGCTAAGGAATGAAAGCCAACAGGTACCAGCCATACCTGGTACAGCAGCTGGGGCAGAGTCGTGCACTGACGAGGGGTCTGGGGGCATGTCTCAGAATCCACCACAACTCTGTTTTCTGGACATGTCAAGTCTAAGTCATCTGTTGCGTGGACTCAGTCTCAAAAAAAAAGTTTTTAAAATAATGAAATGTCTTAACAATTACATCATATAATCTATTGATGGAAATTCCAGTAGACTGTAATGTACTAATACGTTTCCCTAGTGTTGAACATTTGTATTATATTTCCCCTTCTCAGTAGATATTTAAGGAATGCCTAAGATTTGTCAGCACTGAATTAAATGACACTGGAAGAATGAGTGTCAGATATTACTTCTTAGTGGCTGCTCACCTCTGCCCACAGCTTTCTCTGCCCTGCTGCTGGCCCTGCCTTGTCCAGCACATTGTCCTGCCCAGGGCTGGCTGCCACTTTAGCTGGGCCTTTCAAAGAGCTCACAGTATATTTGTAGGAAGCAGTGAAATCTCTGGCATTGACCTTTAACCATCATCAGGATCACTTTCACTTTACCGGAAGCAGAGCGGCAAAAACGCTCCCTCTGAGCCAGACTTGAAATAACATCTCCTGTGGTCCAGAGCGGAGTTCCTCAGCCTCGGGACTGTTGAGATTGTGGGCCACATTGTTCTTTGTTGGGGGTCATTGGGGCTGCCATGTGCATTACAGGATGTTTAGCAGCATCGCTGGCTCTGCTAGATTCCCCCGAGGTGGTAACAATCAAAAATGCCTCCAGACACTGCCAAATGTCCCATGGTCCCACACAGCACAGAATCACCCCTGGTTGAGAATCACTGGCCTAGAGAATGTGTTTATATTTTTAATTTCCCTCTTAATTCATAATACACTTCATTGCTCTCAGAAATAAACATGGGAAGGAAATTTTTTTAAACTGCTTTAAGTACTATCACCCAGTGTCCCCATAATTGGAAGTTTTTCGTTTTTCTTTTCTTTTCTTTTTCTTTTTTCTTTTTTTTTTTTTTTTGTTTTTTGTTTTTTGAGATGGCATCTCACTCTGTCGCCCAGGCTGGAGTGCAGTTGCACAATCCCAGCTCATTGCAACTTCCACCTCCTGGGTTCAGGCAACTCTCTTGCCTCAGCCTTCCAAGTAGCTGGGATTACAGATGCACGCTACCACACCCAGCCAATTTTGTGTTTTTTAGTAGAGATAGGGTTTTGCCATGTTGGCCAGGCTGATCTTAAACACCTGGCCTCAGGTGATCCACCGGCCTTGGCCTCCCAAAGTGCTGGGATTACAGGTGTGAGCCACCGTGCCCGGCCAATTGGAAGTTTTTTCAGTCTGCCTTATGGAAACTGTATAAATTGTTCGTTGCAGAAAACATGGGAAAATATAACAAAAGCCATTGCTAGTTTAAATAGAGCTGAGATCCGGCCACTGCACTCCAGCCTGGGCGACAGAGCTAGACTCCGTCTCAATAAATAAATAAATAAATAAATAAACAAACAAACAAATAAATAAATAGTAAGTTCACTACTGCCCTCTCCAGGGGATGTCTGAACTGCAGCCTCATTCTCCCTGTGAGTGATTGGAGCAGGGCTTAGGAAAGTCACAGTGCAGAGACAGTGTCCGGCATGGGGACGAGTCACGGTTTTGGCGTGGGTTTGGGTGGTACAGTACCTTAGCAATTCTGCTCTCCAATACTTGCTTTCTGCGGACTCTTCTGGATCAGGCACTTAAAGGACTAAATATGTAGGTATTATCTCCATGCCACTTAAGAAGAAGGGACAAGGCTTCTGGAGAGCTGGGCCATTTGTGATTTTGCTTTTG